TTTCTTCAACGGAGAGTCTCCAGACTGATTAGTGAGTGAAACCTTGAAAGCTCGCGAGATCAGGATGGTCTCATGAGGCTAGTGGACTCCCTGGCCCCACATGAAAGCTGCTACAGGACCAGGGAGGTGCTGGATCAATGGATCAGCCATTTTTCATGCAGAGCTGTTGGATAATTTGGATTCTTAAAGAAAAATGTTGAATCCAGGCGTTTTCCTGCATCTTTTATTAGGATCACTGTATAAAAGTGGCTGAAACCTGTGTGTTCTGTTTTATTTAAACATGAAAAGATGAGTTTATTTCTGTGACTGGTTCCTCAGAGGTTTGCTGCTTCCTCATGTGGGAGTGGAGCTCCATGGCATCGAGAGGACGGATGTGGGGAACCTGGGCAGCGGGATTTACTTCAGTGATGCTCTGAGGTTGGTTTCATTTAAAGAATAATATCAGATTAAGGACAGAGCCATAGTTGTTCTGCTTCTCTGGACGTCTAAACCGCAGCCAGGAATGGATGCGAACAAACGGCGTCTGTTTGTGTTCACAGCACCAGTCTGAAGTACTCCTCCGCCAGTGAAACCGACGGCTCCCGCCTGCTGCTGGTCTGTGATGTGGCTCTGGGATGGTTTAAGAACGTCTATAAGAAAGACCCGACTCTGACCAGGCCTCCGGAGGGCTTTCACAGCGTCCATGGAGTTCGCCGCACTAAAGGAACTCCGTCTGACTTCGAGGTAGGCGCCGAGCACAGAGAGCAGTAAACGACGAGCAGCAGGGTCTCCATGTTCAAACCCGTCACTGATGCGTTTCTGTCCGTGCGGCGCAGGACGACGAGTTCGTGGTTTACTCCCCTGATCAGGTGAAGATTAAATATGTGGTTCAGTTCAGAGTGAAAGGCGACCAACAGAAGCCCTTCAGTCCGGACATCAACCTGACGGCGGACGCGGGTGAGCAGCAGAGTCTGGTGCTGAGTCGCCATGACGACATGCACAGGATTATGGTGTCTGAGAATAAACGATAAGATGTCTGCTTTGATGCATTCAGACATCTTCATTAATTACTGCCTTCATTTAGGGGGAATGAGTTGAGGTGGAGGCCGGTAAAAAGCGGGTCAGAACATTTTCAGGGCGAGGTCAGCCATCCGCCATGATGAGCTGCAGAACGCCATAGAAAGACAAAACTCCAACATGTTTAGTTTTCTAATAGAATTCCAGATAGGAAGCAGGTTTTATCTTTTTTTCTTCATCTACACCTTCTCATCAACCAGCTTTAAATGAAAAAGTGTGTCTGCTTATAAGCTTCTTTTCTTTAGTTTCTTAACATTTTATCATTTCATCACTTCTTTATCTTCTAAAGTTTTTTTTCCTGCTGCTTTAATTTTTTTAAGTTGATGTATTTAGCTATTTTTGGTTTATTTATCTTAATTATTGAGGTTATTATTTATTTATCCTCACAGTGGTGACATCATACAAACATTTCTGTCATTTTGTTGTAAATATTTCCTGTTCATTTTCCAGAACAATGTTTTTATAACGAGGTTTGGCCCAAAATCTCATGATGTTTTTTCCTGTATTTAGGCTTCTGTTAACCCTTTATAAGACAAGTTACAGTTTTTTTTTATCCCTGGCATTCCCCTTACAAATGGAGTCCCTCAGTCCCTCAATGAAGTCTATAAGCACTAGATCTATATCCAGCCATTCAGCAAAGATCCTGCTACATGGCTGCACATCTGATTTTGGCATCTGACCAATTAGATAAGCCCTTGAATGATTTATTACCTTCTGGAAATTAAGTTGGAAAGAAAGATTCTGTCTCACAGAATAGTGACACCTGCTGGACATTTAAAGACACTACAGGCAGTTTATTGGACAAATTAAACTGAATTGATCTGATGACCTAGTTTGTACAATGATAGAATTTAAGTTATTGTAGGTTATATTATATTTTTTCATATCTGTATTTAAATTGAAAATATATGTGATTTATTATTTTTAGATGCACTGAATAAATAGTGCAATTATTTATCACAATGTCAAGATTTAGTGGGAAATTAGGATGTTTGTGGACTCGGATTTTAAATCATATTTTTAGTACAGTAAGTACAGTAAAAACAGTAAATAAACTAAGAGTCAATTTGAAATTAACTCTAATTCAGATAAGTTGGGGGATAACTGAGAGGAAAAGGATGAAAAAATGAGAAAATTAAAATCAAAATGCAACTGCTGAAACGTTCTTATTCCCTTTAGGCTCCAAAATTCTTGAACATTTTAACGATAAACCACAAAAGAAAAGAAATTTTTTAGCCGATCCATCATGTTGACTTGTACATTTTTAAACACAGTTTAGTGACTCAGTCAATTGGAAACATCTCCTGTCCAATGTTGTATAAAATACTGAAATCTCGGAGTCCAGTAGAAGTATAAGTACCTCTCCAAAATATGACTTTGGTAAAAGTCCAAGTCACTGACTGAAATGTTACTCGAGTAAAAGTCTTAAAGTATCTGAAACGGCTTGTACTTAAGTATAAGAATTACTGTAAAAATAGATGTACTCAAGTAATGAAGTGAAAAGTATAAGTAAAAAATAAGTTTTGGTAAACTTTGAAGGTTAAATTCACTTAAAATAATATAAACAACCAAGTGTAGGATAAATTTAGACTGGCTTTGGGAAACAGGCGTATCCTATTGGGTTGATGAACAAGCCCAGGCAAGACCCGACTTTGTAGTCAGTAGGCGGGGTCAAAACACTGGAGTTTATCTCTGTGTTTTTTGTTTTTTTTTTTTTTGTTTTTTTTTACTTCGTAACTAAAACAAACATTGAAAATGTATCAGAGTAAAAGTATGCAATTAAGTTCGTAAATGTAGTGAAGTAAAAGTGAAAGTTCTCAAAAAAATGTATACTCTTGTAAAGTATGAAGTACTCCTAAATATACTTAACTACAGTAGTGAAGTATTTTTACTTTGTTACTATACAACACTGATCCTGGATCGGTCATGTGAATTCCTTGAAACAACAGGCGCACCGATAGTGTTTCTCTCTTCTCTCCACGCATGCAGCCACGCATCGGGCTTACTGGACCTATCACTAGTAAAAAGCTAATTGAAAAGTTCAAAAGTAAAGTTCAAAAGATAATAAGCTTAGTTAACAGTTATATTTAGGTTTAAAAACTGAAAAATATCAGTGCCAGTATCAGCATTAATGCTTCTAAGGTTATGTTGGACCAAAAAAAAATGTGTTTCTTTCACTCTCAGTCTTTTTAGTGAATTTCTTATAGAAGCACTTTTGTTATTTTTCGTAATATATCTTAATTTTTGAAAATTGAATTGTTATTGGAATCCAACAAAAGACCTGATTAGACTGATACTAATAAGGTGTTTTGCTGGATTCCAATAACACTCTTGGCTTGAAATATTGATTTTCAAAGTATTTCACTGAGGGCCCTATAAAGGGTTAACCTTCATGTTTTTTATTTCTGTATAACTATGAAAGTAAAAGGCATTTAAACTCTTGGCTTTCAGGCGTTCCCAGACAAATGTTCCCTTCATCAAACTATGAAGATCTTGAAAAGATTAAAAACCCTCTGGAGGACGTAACGGCCGGACTGTTGAACAGCTCAGGAGAGCAGCTCCCCCTGCAGGCCGTCCATGTGAAGTGCAAACTGATAGACCTGCTCTCCCAGGTTAAAAACTAGATTTCTGGTTTATTTTGACGTCACGCTGGTCGTACGCTGCATCTCATTCTGGCTTTGTCCTCCTTCAGGTCGTCATCTTCCAGAAGTACACCAATCACAGCTCCGCCCCCATTGAGGCGAAGTACGTTTTCCCGTTGGACGACTCGGCTGCTGTTTGCGGGTTTGAAGCTTTTATCAATGGGAAACACGTGGTGGGACAGGTAACCCTCTAACACTAAATGTCTCCAATCAGGTTCCACCTCATCTAGAAAACAGCTGAAACATTACAACATGCATTCAGACGGCATAAAGCCAAGAACCTTTGTCTCATTTATCTTTTAATATAACGTGTTTATAGATATTTCCTTCAAACATTTAAAGATCCTCTTGTTTTGAGGACGATAGGCTATGAGGAGCTGCTGCAAACATAAGCAGCCAAAAAGACAATCCGTCTAAATTTGGCTTTAAATTCAATTTTCCTCTTTTTAAGAAAAAAGGCCAAATCCAAAATAACCCTTATTGTTTTGAGAGCAGGCTGCACAGGAATTTCCATCAGCCTTGAGTCTTTTCTTGCTGGCTCCTCGTGGCGAATCCAATATTCCACATTTGTTGGGCTTTTCCACCTTGAAGCAAGTGTCCACATCCAAGATATTATCTCATCTTTTGTTTTTTTACAGTGTCCTGTCTGGCAATGTGGCAATAAGAATAATTGTCTTGATGCCAAAAAGAGTCCAACAGATTTTACTTTCACAAGTGGAGCAGTACGGCAATTGCCACATTAGTCCACTTGTTTCATGCATATAAATTGCTTTATTATAATTATGCAGGGAGTTTTACAGTTTATATGCACACTGCAATGTAAATAGAGCAGAAAAACAGAAGAAGAAAAAGGAAAAAGAAAAAAAGAGAAAAGATGAAAGAAAGAAGAGATCGAAAGGAGACAATGACAAAACATTTTCAGTCTGCTTCATCACCTGCAACGAGATGAAAAAAGAACAGCACAACTGAAAGCAGTGGTGTTAAAAGTACACACATTTGTTACTTAAGTAGAATTATAGATACTGCAGCTTAAAAACCCTCTGGTAAAAGTAGAAGTATTAACTTTACCTTATTACTAAAGTAAAAGTGAAAAAGTATGTGCTCCAAAAACTACTTAAAGTATAAAAGTATAAAGTAAAGTAATTTTTCGACTATTTCTAAACATTCCCTCAGATAGTTCCAAGGATGAGGGAGGTCTTGTTGGTCTCCGTCTCCCGATACGCTCTCGCCTGTGTCCGACCTTTCAGACATTTCAACATCTTTTCCTGAATCCCACATTGTAGCATGGCATAGACAATTCACGTTAGCAGTTTGAAGAACACCTGCTGGCTTGTGATGGTTTCCTTTAGCTAAACAATGAGTGTTTGCGTTATATGACTCATCCAATCACACTACCGTAGTTTTCACTAGATGTGGGCGGAGCCAATGATCTGCATTGGATGGAGCACATGAAGGGAAATAAATATTTAGAAACATTAAACCACGGGTAACTAATAAAAAATAAGTGGGGTCCGAATAAAAATATCGCTAAAGTAATTTTATTAAGTCTGACATGTACTCTGTGTTACCTGAAGATATGAGTTCAACCACTGCAGCCAGCCTGCGTTCAGTCGCACCCCGCATACGGCTTATCTCCCGGTCCTCCTCGTTCACAGCCTTATTGAGTACGTAAAAACCGCTGCCTCAGCCTGCCCAAATTGCCGCCGAAATCCTCTGTAATCGTAGATATATAAGGTATCCTCCAAATCCAAACAGGAGAAATCCGAGTATCATAAATCCAAAAATCCAACCATACTTCGATATCCTCCACTGACAACATTGTGAAACACAGCATCCTCCAAGCCTTCCAGGATTCCATGGTGTATCCCATGAAGTAGGTCCTGGTAGGACAGGAAGGGTCCCGTTTTTCCTGCCTCCCAGTTGAGAAAATTTTATCAATTGCATTGAGACCAGCTGACCAGAATGATTGTTTGAATTCGGGTGATATGAAGAGAGAGCTCAGAAAGACAATAAACAGCAAAGCAGGGACAGAGCAGAGAGTGCAGAGCAGCAGGAAAAAGATTCGTCACGGCGTTGCTGGCTGAAGAACCCGGTGGTTGGTGTGTTTCTGTTCTCAGGTGAAGGAGAAGCAGACGGCTCGTAGGGAGTACAAGCAGGCCATAGCCAAAGGCCACGGAGCGTACCTCATGGACCAGGAAGCTCCTGTATGTCCAGCCACATCCTCATCCTTTCACCAAACCTTTTCCCTCCGGCTCTCTGACGTCTGTTCTCTGTAGGACGTGTTCACCATCAGCGTGGGCAACCTGCCGCCTGGAGCCACCGTCCTCATCAAAGTCACCTTTCTGTCTGAGCTGGTGGTCCGAGACGGGAGCATTCTGTTCTCCCTGCCGGGGAGTGTGGCTCCCTGGCAGGAGAGCTCCGCCCTCAACCAGACAACACAGGTAAGGGGCGGAGCCTGTAATTGGAGGGGGAGGGGTGCTTTTCCCAAAAGCTTTATTTTTTTACTCCATTTATGAGAACACTCCACTTTCTGCTATGATAAATTATTCACTATTGCAGTAAACATTTATTAGAGCAAATAATAAAAAAAATGTATCTGATTTTTGAATTTTTAAATTAACTAGTTTATGATTTTATTCTTTTCTCAGACGCACAAAAAGGTTTTCTTGTTCTTCTTCTATGGTTTTGATTAGCTGTTCAACCTTAAAAAAATTATTGATGGCTTGTAATAATAATAATAATAATAATAA